GACAGAATTTTGAGCTGTCTTTGTGTGCCTGGTTAAGATGTTAATTTTAGGACATTGAAAGTTCCAGAAACGAATGCATAGAAGACATTTTGCATCATCCAAGAAGCAAGTATTGATTTGATTTGGGGGCTCATCTTTCTCAAGACCTTTGGTTTGTCTTTAACCTTTTGCTCCTCCTTCTGTGATCTTCCATTCCAGATGAGCTTCAGGCAAATATTTGCAAGTTTTTCATTGTAAATTAATTAGTTAACTAATTAGTTAATAATGTGTACATGTGTGTGTCATGGCATGGGATGGATTTTGGAGAACAACTTTCAGGAGTCAGTTCTCTCCCTCTTCTATGACGTGGGTCCAGGGGTGAGGCATGTGTGTCCGACTAAGGTCATTAGGCTGGCAACAGGCATCTTTACTGACAGAGTCATCTCTTCCATTCTCAGGCCATTTTTACCTGTCTTTATAAACCTAGTGATTGTTTGAACCATTTATGCTTTCAAAAGAGTCTCTAAGACTAGGCTATAGGAAAGCAGAAATCTGAACAATTTAAAATTAAGTTATTCTAAAATTACTCAGATAAGAAAGATTGTTATATATAGTATATATTTTTCAGTGTTCACATTCCAAGACCCTTTCTACAGGGGTACTTACTACCTACCCTGGGAAAACATTTCATCCTTTGAGGTTTGCTATTATTTTCTGTTTTTAAGAATCCACAGGGCAGTGGCCATTGGAAAAATACTGCTGATGATCTTACACTGTTCAGACTTTTTTTCCAGACAGAATCATGAATATAAACACCAACCTCAGTACATCACAGCACACATCCTGTCTTGAGTCTGTTTCAAGGACTGAGAAATCTACAAAGAGAAATTATAACAACAAGACAAGTCACTACCATTTTCCATTGCTCACTTTTTTTCAAGACATTAGTTGCTAACTTTCTGATACTTTGTAAGACTGAGATACACCATGAATTGGTGTATGCATTTGCTCTTGCAGTTCACATTTTTTTTTTTGCGTTCAAGAAATATTTGTCAAATGAGTGTTTTCTTTGTTATCTGTAGGATATGAGATTGAAGAAATACATTATCTTTAAAATAAAAATAATCCACAAATCCTTCTACTGTGTATGTATTCAAGTAAGTAAAAACAGCAAAAGAGATATCTATACTGTTGGGCTTATTCTCATACTATTCAAGGGCCAAGATACAGAATGAATTAAAATGTGCAGGAGCAGACAAAGAAGGTGGGGTGAACATACACAATGGATTTTTTTTTTTTTTTTTCAGCACGACCAAGTAAAATCTTCCATTTGTGGCAACATGCGTAGAACTGGAGACATTATGTTAAGTGAAATAAGCCAGGTGGAAAAAAATCAAATGCCACACATTCTCACTCATGAGAAGAAGAGAAAACGTTGGTCTCATAGAATCAGGGGATACCATAGTGACGGCTAGAGGGTGAGGAAGATGGCAGGAGGAAGGGAGAGAGGAGTTACGTAACGTGATGTAACATGTGCTAAAATAAGAAGAGTGAGCTGTAATTCTCTCCAGCCTAGAAGGGTGACTATGATTCAACACATACTTTGAAGTCCTTAGCACAGAGGAATCTCGATACAGAGAAATGCTACTTACTCTGGTCTGAACATTACACAGGATAACACAGAGTGAATTATCAGACTACTCCTCATCAATATGCATAATTATTACTTGTCCACTAACATTAAACTGAAGGATACAAAGGATTAGAGGCCAGAAACAAGCAAAAACAAACACAAACGGACCATTTTAAAATGTCAAAACCTTTGTGGGTGGGAGAGGAAAAAACCCATCAGAAACCCCAGCACAGCGTCAGCTCACACATGGAGATGAACTGGCTGTGTACCTTACTAGTTTTTTTATTTACTAAAAACAGTGCTTACTGGATGCTAGCCACTGCCAGGCTCTGTGCTAGACACTAACTTCATGATGATGACTAAGGCGAGCTGTGGACATTCTGAAACAAAACACCCTTTTATTTAAAAGAGTTGACTCACTTTTCTAACTATATAAAACAGCTGAATGTTAAGTGGAAACAAAAACCCTCAGCAAAAGCAACTGAATGGGGCACACAAAAATGTATATCAGTTATGCGGTGCTCTTTAACCTGAAATTAGCATCATGGTTTAACAGCAGTGGACACATGACTCATTAGGATCAAGAGGAGCTATAATTTTAAAAGAAGCATGATATTTAGGAGACAGTTTAAAAGGCATTAAATTACTGTGTTCAGTCTTGCATTTCAAAAATCATTAAAATGGGAAACAATAAACATTTCTAAAAACAATTGTTTTTCCATCTTTCTTATTTGCAACAGCTTTTAATTGTACTGTTAGTGATTTAAATTAGATTGTATTGATTAATGAATCAGTATAATTGCTTTATAAACTGGTGAAAGCTGTCCATCTTCGCCTTTTGTTTTTCCTGGCTTGAAGAGTTGCTTTATTATTAGGACTTAGTAATAATTACAAGTTATTTAAAATGAATTCTCTGACTGTGATACTAGATAAAGTAAATTTTGACAGCTGGTTAAATTTATTCAGAGTGTAGGCTGTGGGTTTGTAAAGTGCCCACATTTAAACAAGGCTAGTGAGATATCCAATGAATCAGAGGCGGGAGTTATTTGTCCACCGGTTGTCTAGGAGAGATGAGAAGCTAGGAGAAGACTTGATTATGTGCCTAAAGGGTTTCTTGTGCTGTTGTACTCTCTAAAGAACCTCTTCACCCTTTCCATATGTGCCATATGCTTGGGATGAACTAGGTCAAACCTGCAAAACTTCCTATGACCCTTGAACACATTGTGACAGAAACCAGTGGCTGCTTCCTCTGCTTCTATGGTTTCCCAAAAAATGTCCCATCAGACCAGGGCTTGTTACAGAGAGGCTTTAGTTTTATGTCCATCAGTGCTGTCTGGACCAGAGTGCCGCTGCTCCTAGCATCCACACATGAACACTTTGCCTGGGAAGTGCAATGCACCCAATCATTGAGTGTCAGCAAGAAGCGGGGATGAGACTTAATTGTGATGCCTTCTCTGCGCTACAGAGAAGGTTCCCATGCCCTACCAGCAGAGACCAAATGTGAGGCCTGAAGGAAAGATGTGCAACCAAGAATTTAGAACTAACAAGATGATAGCAAAATTAAATAAAGTGGGAAGGGGACAAGGAGAGTGGCATGCAAGTCTTCATTTCCCATGCCATTGTGTTTTTGAGAGGGATGAGAATTCAACGAGACTTTCAACGAGACTTTTTTTGTCATTACAAAAACTAGAACTCTTGGTAAATAGCAGTTAAATTCCTTTCTCTTCTTCAAGCTCTTCTACATGATCTACAAACTGTTGGCACTAACAGTTTATATTTCTACATCTATGTTCATTGTTTCTTTAGAGGTAGGATGAAGAACGCATGTTCTTAGGAGTGCAATTGGGCTTTGTTTTTGGACAGGGAGGATGCAAAATATTTTCCATGTTATTCAGGCAGCAGGGATGCTTGAATGTTTTAAGAATGAATGCATAGCCTAGAAAACAAACCCTAAATAACTTTAATAGTTATGCATGACAAATGAGGAAGAAAACTTCATACATTTTTTAGGAGTATTTCATTGGCATCTGCATTTTGTAAAATGCTATTTATATTTCTTAAATTGCAGTGATATTGAAAGAAGAGTATAATGTATAAATCAACTTTATAATTGTATAGCTTCCTGTGTATGCACAAGAATAGTTGTGAAAAAGAGGACAATAATGTTAATTAGTTGGGTTAGGAAAAGGGTAGCCCCTTCTTGTGGTTGTCATTGTTAATTTTGTGGTGCAATATAATTTTAGTAATTTGCAAATGTATGATTTAGTGGCTTTAAATACACTCACAGTGTTTTCATATTATTAGAACTTGGGAACTGACTGTTGACTTCAATAAAAATCTCATGTGCTCATTCACTGGTGAAAGGAGTAGATGATGAGTTAGATTAAAAACCCAAACAGACCTGAGTGGAAGAGTAAAAATAAACAAAATTGATTAAAGTTCAAGTAGACTTTTTTGTTCAGTTTTGTTTTATGTGGACTCTGTTTTTATATTGGTTTTATGAAGTCATAAAATACTATCCTAAAACCCGATGGAGGGAAAAGCAATTACATGTTCTAGAAACAAATGCTTTTTGAAATTGATATTTCTTCACTTTTATGACTAAGCTCTTGGTTAGAAAAATGTTGCAATAATGTTTCAAAACTATGACATGTTTAGGAGGACATTGCATTGTTGTACCGAAAACCTATGCTAGCCATTCAGGATCTTGACTAGATCATACATTAGCGATCACCTAGTCTGAATTTGTCACTTTAGAGGCAAGGAAAAAGAGGCCCAGAAGGATTTATCTTTTTCTCTACCTAGATCATGCAGTTGTCCCAGAAAGTATTATACAGTAGTTTGCACAGATAGAAAAGACAGAAAGATAACATAAATTAGAAGTAGGTGAAAAAGGCAAACATGATTAAAAAAAAAGAGAGAGTAGGATCATAAAGAAACAAGATTGCATCTAAGAGGAACAGACCCGCTTAAGTCTGTTGGGTGGCCACAGGTCAGACTTAGATGCTCTGCTGGCCAATGCAGGAGGGAACAGGATGAGTTAAGTAATTCAATTGCTCCAAAGATAATTGAAAATCATCTACTTGTTCATAAGATGGACAGGTACTTATTACAAAGGGGAAAAGTATCTCCTGGGAGCCCTGCTCAAAGAGCACATCTCAGAGTCAATGATGCCTTTGAACATTTCATTGCAGGAGCTGGGGGAAGTCCCTAGGGCTTTTTTTTCGGGTGTGTCATCTGTCAGTGAACACTGTTTGCCTTCCATGGAGGTGCCATTAGGTAAGGGATGGATGGTCTGAACCCTTCTCTGTCAGCTGGGACTTCCTGGGAAGGACATTGGTGAGTTGAGTTCCAGGCAGGCCCAGTAGAGCATCTGTTTCTGTTTTTCCAGGTGGTTGAACAGACAGTAGAGAGACAGCAACATGATGCTTCTGGGAGCTGAGATGAGCTGACACCAGGATTTCGCCAACATGGTGTGTATCTTCTGAGATGCTTGTTAATAATGCAGGTTCTTTTTCTTTAATTGAAAATATTTTTTTCTCACATGATATAAACTGAGTACTGTTTCCCATCACTCTATTACTACCAGATCCTCCCTGCCTCCCCTCCCACCTGGATTCACCCCCTTTCTGTCTCTCATTAGAAAACAATCTTCTAAGAGATAGTAATAAAATAAAATATAATATAATATAATAAGATGAAACAAAAAGCTAAAAACTGACACACCAGAGCAGGACAAAACAAGCAGAAGGGGAAAAAAAAGCCCAAGAAAAGGCACAGGAAACAGATATAGATATAGAGACCCACTCATTCACACACTGAGGAATTCTATAAAAATACTAAACTAAAGCCATAATATATACATGTATATATATATATATATATATATATATATATATATATATATATATGCAAAGGACCTTCAGGTTAAAAAAGAGATAAGAAAAATATAAATAAAATAAAAATAAAATATAAAAAATAACAAAAAAAATGAAAAACACTGATACGTTATAAGACGAGGAGCCTCCAAAGATGCTGTTGTGTTCATTTTCTGTTGGCCATCTACTGGTGGGCACGCAGCCTTCCCTGATGAGTAGTTTGTTTCCCTGGTGCGATTCTCTTGGAGAAAACTAGATGCTCACTTGCAAATAGTTATCAATCAGAGATAGCTTCTGGGTTGGGGATGGGGCCATGTGTCCACTTCTCCTTTCAGCTCTAGGACCCCATCTGGTGCAGACCTGTGCATGCTGCCCTAGTCTCTGTGATTTCATATCTGTAATCATCCTGTTCATTTACAGGGTCATGTTTTCTCGGTTTCCTCCATCCCCTCTGTGTAGCACGAATCTTAAAAGTTCTTATTAATAAAATCAAACCCGGTGCCAGGTATTGGGGTGAACTCTGGAAGATCAGAGAAGCAGAACAAGCCACAGCTTCCTCACCTCGCCAGTTCCTCAGCTGATCCTGTTTCCTCAGACTGGAAGCCTCTGAGTTCTCATCCAAATGGATCTCAGCTGAACTGCTGCTAAAAGCCTAACCAGCCCTAGTTCCTGGTTTTCATGCCTTATATACTTTTCTGCTTTCTGCCATCACTTCCTGGGATTAAAGGCGTGAGTCACCATACCTGGAGTTTCCAGTGTGGCTTTGAACTCACAGAGATCCAGACAAATCTCTGCCTTTGGAATGCTAGGATTAAAGGTGTGAGTGCCACCATTTTCTGGCCTCTATGTCTATCTAGTGGCTGTTCTGTTCTCTGACCCCCGGTAAGTTTATTAGGGTGCACAATATTTTGGGGAACACAATATCACCACACCTTCTAGCTCTTATACTCTTCCCCTGAACCCTAAGGTGAGGGATTTGTTGGAGACCTCCCATTTAGGGCTGAGTGTTCCAAGGTCTCTCACTCTTTGCGTATTGTCTGGCTGTTGGTCTCCATATTTGTTCCCATCTGCTGTAGGAGGAAGCTTCTCTGAGGATGGCTGAGCAAGGCACTGATCTATGAGGATAGCATCATGTCATTTGGGATAATGCAGGTTTTTGTCCCTCTTTCCTATTGACAGCTCAAGAATCTACACCTAATACAGGCAAGGAGTCTCACTGAAGCAGTATCAGTCACTGATCTGCTCAGGGTGGTACAGATGTGCTTCAACAGATGTGTGTCATTGTAGGAGGTTTCTCTTTTGGTTTTCTACCTGTATCTTTACGATGGCCTCCCTCCCTAAAGGCTGACCTGTTTTATGGGTTGCCACCATTTCCAATAACCCTTTTCTATTGCTACCCCTATAATTGGAGGTTTTTCTCTATCCTGCCTTGTCCTGAGGCCGCTTGTAAATAATCACTCAGAGGCTTAATATTACTTATAAATGCTTGGTCGATGGCTCAGGTTTATTACTAGCTAGCTCTTACATTTGAATTAACCCATTTCTATTAATCTCAGTATTGCCACGTGGCTGAGGCATTACCGGTCTGCTGGCATGTTGTTTCTTGGGTGGCTGGATGGCATCTCTCTCAATTTCGACCTTCTTTCTCCCTGTATTCAGTTTGATTTTCCTGCCTAGCTATATTCTGCCTGGCTATAGGCCAAATCAGCTTTATTTATTGACCAATGAGAGCAACACATATTCACAGCACATAGGAAGACCATCCCATAGCATACCCCAATTCATAGTGCAATGTGTATTAGATAATGGCTCCTGTTTTTTTTTTTTTTTTTTGGTTTTTCGAGACAGGGTTTCTCTGTGTAGCTTTGCGCCTCTCCTGGAACTCACTTGGTAGCCCAGGCTGGCCTCGAACTTACAGAGATCCACCTTGGTCTGCCTCCCGAGTGCTGGGATTAAAGGCGTGTGCCACCACCGCCCGGCTGGCTCCTGTTACTTTTATACTTAGAATTATTTCAGGTCTTGTACTGTATTGAGAATGAATTGTCCCACCCTATTCTAATGGCCCATGTGATGGTTATTCTTGGTTATCAACTTGACTGGATCAGGAGTCAACTGAGAAATGAGCCGCTGGGCAGGTCTGCAAAGGTATTTCCTGGAAGGATGAACAGGGAGGACACCCCTGCCTCTGGCCCCTGGAGGCAGCACTTCTTTGTGACAGCCTCGATCTAAGCAGGTCAACTGCTGCTCTTTGCCTGCCTGCCTTCACCCATGTCTGGTGAGTGGATCTACTTTATTGCTGCTTCTGCTACCAGCTCTACTTACAACAGAACTTAACTTCTGTGGCCAATGTGGACTGAAGATTTGTGGCTCTCCAGGAATTCTATAGGCCTTCATATTCAGATTGAGACTATTGAGGTAGCAGCCTTGTGTACTGAGCAGCTACTGTGTTCTCAGCATCTTTAGTATACAGACAACCATTGTTGGACTAGCCAGCAAGAATCATATAAGCCAATTTAATTATATCAATACCCATACATATATATCCACATACATGTATATATTAATTCTATGGTTTCTGTTCCTTTAGAGCTGCTGACTAATACAGCAGCATGTAGTACTCTTTGCAATATTGATCCCCATCTAGAATTTCTGGCCCTTCTCCCATAACTATGTCATTGAAGCCATCACACTGTGGTAATGTGGATGCCTTCCTCCCAAGGTTACCAAGAATTCTCCATCCTTCCTTTCTTAACTGAGGGCTTACATGCTCACTGGAACATGTAGATGCTTGAGTACAGCATATTCTGTTGTATTATTTATTTAAACACTGATATAATTGCTATATTTAGCATTACCTGGAGGCTACCACTTTATCTTTACTATCTAGTGTGGAGCACAGTAACTAGCCAGTAACACTCAAGACATATTTAATGAATGAAATAAAAACTACTATAGATTGATAAAATATGATTAGAAAGAAACACACCAAATTGACATAACATAAAAATAAGTTTGTTCAATTGATATGCCAGAGAGTGATTTACAAATTCCTTTGTTAAAAATCATGAAGCCCCTCAGTTCTATTTTATTCGTCAATGTGGCTATTTTTGTATTAGAACTATGGTATTTTTATTAGAGCCCTGAAGTATAACTTGAAAAATGGGATAGTGATACCTGTAGCAGCTTAATTTTTCAGGACTGCTTTCTATATCTTGGGTCTTTTGTGTTTCCACATGAAATTTAATATTATTTTTCAAATTCTGTGAAGAATTGCATTGTAATTTTGATTGGGATCACATTGAAACTATAAACTGTTTTTAGTAGGTGGCCATTTTCACATTAATCCTATGAATCCAAGAGCATGGGAGGTCTTTTCATCTTCTGGTACCTTTTTTGGAGTTGTTGGTCAGTGGGGTCTCACAGACCCCTTACATATTACTGGCTATTGCCATTGCTCTGGCTTATCCTCCAGACTTCGACAGTAATATCCTATTGCTAACGATGCTATACCCTTGAGTCATAAGACATGGTGAAGTCAAGGTGGTATTGACCTGGGAGCTTCAGCCCTATTGGCTAGCTTTCACAGTTCTGGAAGGTGATATGCATTTTACCAGTAGAGAAAAGTAATCACTATTCTTACTCAGCCAGTTCATCTGTGAGTTACAGCAATCAATGGCCTGGTAAGACATGCCCACTGAAGTAATAGTGGCATGAATATCATGGGAGTAATTAATTAATTACATTCTCATTGGAATTAAGGACCTCCTTATGAACAGAAGCCCTCATCTGACACTGATACAAGCGTTAAGAACCTGTAACTGGACAGATCTTAGGCAGCAGGGGAGAACCTACTACTATTCTACTAAATGGACATAATCATAGTGACTTACTGCTATAGCCATACGTTAGTGCACCCCTCAGCCCTCATCAGCGAAGTTTCTTTCTTTAATAGATGATGATAAAGACAGAAATCCACAATGAATGAAGATGTAAGTGAACAAGAGACTATGGATTACTCAGAAATCCTAATGGGGACACCCTTTCCTCCCAGGTCTGAGGGAGCATCAAAGAAAGGGGGTACACATATTTTAAGGGTCAGAAGCAATAGATGACTATGAGAAACTGTTTTCTAGACAGAACAGGGCAATTAGAAATATGAATTCACCGGGCAGTGGTGTCACAAACCTTTAATCCCAGCACTCGGGAGACAGAGGCAGGAGGATCTCTGTGAGTTCAAGGCCAAGGCCAGCCTGGTCTACAGAGCAAGATCCAGGACAGGCACCAAAACTACACAGAGAAACCCTGTCTCAAAAAACAAAAAAAAAGAAATAAATAAAAGGAAAAGAAATATGAATTCACAGTGGTTGTGAAAGCACACACGAGTCCCTTGCAAGCCAAACTAGACAGATACCAGCATGGAGGGGGGCAGGTAGATATGAAATCCTACTCCTAGCTGAGTAGCTAATGACAATTGATAACTGCTGGGAGCTGAAGAGTAAGTTTCTTTAAGGGCATGGCCACTGGTAGGCTGACCAAGTTCCAGTGGCTGGCCCTATGTCCAAGAGTATACAGGTAGCACAGATTGGAATTGACAG